CAAAGACGAAAAATATGAGAGGGAGAGGATTAGGGAAGACAATGTTAGCCTCCCACCTCGAGTTCAGATTGACGGTGACGAAATCGAAGTGGTCGACGAGTTCGTGTATTTGGGCTCTCTGGTGACCGCCGAAAATGATACCAGCAGAGAATTTCAAAGACGCATTGTGGCAGGGAATCGTGCCTACACTGAAAATATATTTTCGTTAATTTATTCACACTCATTTCGTAAGAACTGATTTCGTTGATGAAACAAATTTTTCGTTAATTGTGTGAAACATTCGTATTCCATGTCACTAGGTTCAATGCCAACATTACGCATGATTCGTACAATACAAGAACGGTATTTCGTACGGACGTATGCAATGTATACGAATATAATTCGTGCAACAATTTGTGCACCTACGAAAAACATTTGTGCATACAAGCTATTGCACGCGCGACATTCGTGAATATTATGAAACTATTCTTTGATTTGACGAACTGGATTCGTTTGTGGTAGGTACAATATGAGAATGACAGTCAGTAGAACTTGTTATTATTTGTGAGTGAGATTTTTAATATCGTTAAGAAAAGCGAATGTTTATAGATTTGTGAGAGACCATGTCGGATTGTGACTGTGGAATTTCTTGGACACGATCCCCGGCATCGAGCATCATCTACATACACAGCACCTGCAGTGTGATAAAAAGCTCGCCGAGCTAATTTTCTTTTCTGTTTCCCCGACGCTGTCTGAAGATCGTTTCCCAGACGAAACAATACGTTTGCGTGATTTCCAACTACAAGGTATATGGAGTTCAATTGCCCCTGCGAAGGTGCGATGGATTTTGACATAAAATGATGGCGCACTTGAAGAAGGTTCGGGCATTCTGAAGGCTGCCGGCTACATCATTCTCGTAGGATGAGAAACATTATCAAATTTCAAGCAAGGTTTTCGGCAATGCTGGTAAAGCTCAAGCCATCTTTGATTTGAATTATCTTCCACTCGATAAAAATGATGAAGATATTCAAAAAAAGTTTTATTGATTTCCTAAATAGACAATTTTATTTACCCTCAAATGTTTCGTGTGCCTTCGCGTTCTATTTCGTACAATGTATATGTTGTGTTCTGAGTCTACGAATGTTTCGTACTATTTGAAGTAAATGAATAATAAAGGGCGAACACGAAATTATTGCGACACCGAAAATGTCATGCCAATTTTCTTATAATGTTTAGAATCAAACCAAAATTTTAGGGTAGTTTTATACATATATTTACTTCAAAAATCAAAAGAAAAGTTAATCGATGGAGCCTTGAGTGTAAAATTGAACGCATTTTCGCTTGATGCCCTCCATCAAAGTCTTTACAGTGTCATCCGGTACCAGTTTCTCCGTTTTTTTTTCCATTTTCTTAACATGTCCTTCTCGTCTTTGACTGTCTTCTTGCTCTTCCGAAGTTCCCGCTTCAACGGCGCCGGTGGTGTAGTGGTAAGCGTGATTACCTCTCACCCCAGCAGGCCTGGGTTCAATCCCAGTCGGCGCCGCCGGGATGTTCTGAGGCATAACCTCTCTGATCACGCCTTCCTTCGGATGGGAAGTAAAGCCGTTGGTCCCCGGTTCATGAGTTGATGGGTCGATAGGTAGGGTCCAGGTGTGGGAGCTGCCTTCCTGGCACGTCGGTAGCATTGGTGCTCAGCACGGAAAACAAGATCGACGGAAAAAACAAACCAAAAGGAAGTTCCCGCTTCATTATTGCCCAGTACTGCTCCACCGGGCGCAGCTCCGGACAGTTTGGCGGATTCATGTCCTTTGAAACAAAATGGACAGAATTGGCCTCATACCACTCCAGGACACTTTAACAATAGTGGCATGATGCCAAATCTGGCCAAAATAGCGGAGCTTCGTCGTGCTGCTGCAAGAACGGCAAAAGGTGCTTCTCGAGGCACTCAGATTTGTAGATCTCGCCATTTACTGTGCCCTTTGTCACGAAAGGCTCACTCCTCAGTCCGCAAGAGCAGATGGCCTGCCAAATGAGATATTTGGAGGCGAACTTCGACATTTTCTTCTTCTTAAATTTGTCGTCCACATCGAACTTGCTCTTGCCGGTGAAAAACTCCAACCCCGGAATTTGCTTAAAATCGGCTTTTATATACGTTTCGTCGTCCATCACACAGCAGCCATATTTTGTCAGCATCTTCTCGTAGAGCTTCCGTGCCCGAGTTTTAGCCGTCGATTGTTGCCGCTCATCGCGGTTTGGGAAGTTCTGTACCTTGTATGTATGTAGTCCAGCTCTCTTCTTTGCATTCTGGACGTAGCTCTGCGACATGCCGATCTTTTTAGCCAAATCACGGCTTGAGACGTTGGGATTTGCTTTAATCATCCGCTTCACCTTTCCCTCCGTCTTTTTGTTCTCCGGTCCCGGTTTTCTTCCAGCTCCTTTGCCGTGGTCCAACGTCAACCGCTCCTGGAACCGCTTCAACACTCTGGAGACGGTTGAATGGTGAATGTTCAACATTTTTCCCAACTGCCGGTGCGACAGGTCAGGAAATTCCAGGTGTTTGGAAAGAATTTGTTCTCTCAACTCGCGTTGGTTCACCTCCATTTTCGTTGAATCGAAAAACACGACTTGGAGTTTGACAGCATGTACACAATACACATCAATGAGAAAGTGTGCAAAATTTGGTTGATTTTTACCCAATGGTAAAAAAGTTATGCCCTGTTGAATGTGTCGCAATAATTTCGTGTTCGCCCTTTAAGTATGTTTTATGAAACATTCGTAACTAATGAGATAACGCTTCGTAAAATACACGAAAGTTACGAATCAAACGATTTTATGAATTTAAACGAAACAAGCTTCGCAAATAGTACGAATCTATTTCGTTGCAGATAACAACGAATGTATTCATGAAACAAACGAACGATTTCGTTATATAAACTAAATTTAATTTTCAGTGTACATTGGACTCCGAAATAAAAGGAATAAAATTCGCCGTCGCACGAAGTTAACTATCTACAAGACGCTGATTACAGCAGTGCTCGTGGAGGACCAACGCGCCCTTGGTGTTTTCGAACGGAAGGTGTTGCGTACCATCTACGGTGGATTGCAGATGGATGACGGAACGTGGAGGAGGCTAATGAACCACGAATTGCACCAGCTGCTGGGAGAGCCATCCATCGTCCACATTGCAAAAACTGGGCGACTACGGTGGGCTGGGCACGTCGTAAGAATGCCGCACGACGACCCAGTGAAAATGGTTCTCGAAAGCGACCCAACAGGTACAAGAAGACGAGGCGCACAGCGGGCAAGGTGGATCGACCAAGTAGAAGGTGACCTGCGGACCCTTCGCAGACTACGAGGCTGGCGAAGTGTGGCCATGGATTGAGTAGAGTGGAGTTGACTTCTTCGGACAGCGGAGGACAACAAGGTCTTAGTTTGATTGGTAAGGTAAGGTAGCTCTTAAATAGACGAATTTAGTTTCACTCTCCAAGCAGAGTTGTCTAAAGGCGAAGCATAAATCCGGCTCAGAAAGGAGGAGGAATTAAGTACCCCATTAAGCCTCTTTTATAGAAATAAATAAGAGATCACTCGTTGACAATAAATTTCAAAACAATTGCGGGGGAAGGGAATGATAACGTGACGTAATTTTCAAGGAGGTGGTTGAGAAATTGTAACTATATATGACAGAGGGAGGAGGGGAAAGGGTAAATTTCAGGATAATTTGGCGTGACATAACGCTAGCTAGCTAGTCGAAACAAATCTCAGTAGGGTAGTTTTCAAGATATGGATAATAAAAAATGTCCTCCGACATTGTCTCCGACTGTAATGCTTATATATATATATATATATATATATTAATTATTTTAACGCCAAATTAAAAGTGATAAAGTTTGCTTTGGATTATTTGAACACCATTTTTTAGTGAGATTAGTGGTACAACCACTACAAATATTTGTATTTACGCTGCTTAAAAACTCATCTGAAAGAGCTTCGTTTTTTGAGCACAACGATATTTTTTCTTTTTCGATACCGTAAAATTTCGCCTCGATTTTTAAATCAAAACATTAAAACATCTTTAAACTTCATATATAACGTGGGATGTTTTCTGTATCACTTATAATACATTTATAAAACAAGCCGTTCTAATTCAAAAAAGATGTTTTATGTGTTACTTGGGGTACCTCTATGGAATCATTGTCATTTGATTTTTGTAAAGGATTCATCATCCTTAACCTTTTATTTTCTATAAGGCTTTTGGTTGTTTTGAAATGCAAAAATGTATTTTTGGACAAAGTGCTACATCAGCCTAAAATTAAAGAATCCATCAGAAAAAGTGTATGTTTCAAATCAATAGCATCCCAATTGGATTATATAGCGGTATTGAGGTAAATACATATTCATTATTTGCATTAAAAATGGAACCGAAATCCAAAATTTCATCAATTTTGGCACACTGGAACTATTTTAAATAAGTACGATTGCATTACCAAAAAATCACCATCTTAGCGCCCCTTGGTGGAACTTTGTATGGGAGCGAGCTGTCAACAAATAGATTTAGTGTCAACGACCAAAAATTTAAATCTTGATTTAAAAATCGAGATGAATGTCTCGGGATCGATAGAAATATCGTTGTGCTCAGAAAACGAAGCTCTATCAGATGACATATAGCAATCGGTATATTTTTCGAGATTAAACAACCCAAATTGTGTTTTCAGATATATCCTCAAGAATAGATATGGACGAGATTAATGGACACATGGAGAAGCATAAATAAGAACTGACTATTTAATGGTAGTTTTACAACCATGCTACCATGGGAAGGAGATGGTTAAGTCTAATACAGTTCATTAACAATCTTCCGACTGATTCACACCCATCCATGCACATTATGCAACGTTATTAAATAATAATAACTTCACCGGCTGTCAAATGTTACGAGAATGATTACACCAAAATTGAAAAAGTCATCCCAGTAAATTTTCCGCACGAGCTCACTCACCAACGGCAATCACATATTCACTCACCTGTATAATGTAGCCTAATGACGTGAGCAGAAACATCACCACATCCAGTATGGTATGCTTGATGGAGACCTTTTTCCGGGCCGGGTTGATCTCGGTTTTGTCGAACGAAAACAATTTCCCATTGGTGGCCATCATCTTGCTGGTTGCTGTTTTTCCTTGCCACCAAATCGTGAAAATCACTCGATGTGTATTTTGTGTATTGCACCAAGTAGCAGCACTCCTACACAAGGCTTTAGGCCAGTTGGAATGCCTTCGACATTAGATGTTACGTAGATCGCTATTTTTTTTTTCGATTGCACTTTTTTCTTCTTTCTGTGTGTGTGAGTATGTATGTGTGTATGTGTGTGTGTACGTGCTGCAAGCGGTTAGGAAAAACTAGTTTTCCTCTCTAACCGAACGTCGACCGTTGAAATTTCCTGCAAGAGCACACTTTGAAAACACTTGAACTACCACCGCGCTTGCAAACTCTCGGTTACAGCTCTGGGCTCGGGCTTCGAAGGCCTGTGGGCACCACTTGAAGTTTTTCTTCTTGAGACACACGGCATAAACTACATTAACAACAACAACAACAGCAGCAGCTGACTGCAATCTGCCTCACCGCATCTACGAGGGCGCTTAGTATAGTTATATATGTTAATGTAGCATTCGTTTCCACATTTCACTTTTATGCGCTCATTTCTTCTTTCTTCAAGGTGTGCATGCACAAGTCGTTACCTTTACTGTTTTCAACCGTCGTCGTCAAGCCTCTCTCAGTACTTACTTTATATTTTCTTTATAAATTTGCACACTTTTACACTTGGCTGCCTTCTTCTTCTGCAACTTCCTGTTTGCTTCGATTCGGCGGAGAAAGAATTAGGTAACCGATCGAAGGCACTGTGTTTCCTATTTTGCTCATCCAATAAGCGAAGACCGATGACCGCCCAAGAACGGAGGACCACGTGCGTTCACGTCCGCGTTCAGGATTCGAATGAGCTTGATGAACCGCGGCATGAAGATTGAGAATAAAAAGCTCTCATTGCGCGCTGTTGCTGTTGTTGCTTCTGCTGCTGCTGCTGCTGGTGCTGTTACTGCTAGTAGTACCTAGTTCTACACAATGGCACATGCGTACTCGCGAACTGCAAATGGCACTTGTTCCAAAATCGACTACAAACAGTAGTGCTGCGGCGCTGGGACTGAGGGGGTCTTTTATGAGATGGATCGTGAAAAAATATGTAGCTAGTAGTCATTTAGGCAATGACATGTTACACAAGTGAACTGAGACAATTTAATGATATTCGTGAGTAATTGGTACAATTAGATTCCAATTATTAGAATCTTGTGCGTAATGAGTCGCAATTTACTCTTCAAGGGTCCGATAAAAAGTCTCGAGAAGGACAGGCCTCGGAAACCTTGAATTTTCTTTTGCTATGGGTGAACTTTCATGTGGCCGTAAACTGTAATAGCCTTATCTTTTTAATGATGTAAATTTAAATTCGTGATTTATAATGATTGTAATTTGACTACTTTAAATCGGCTTTGAAAGGATAGTTGAACTTTGAAGATCGTTTGTAATTTATGTAAGTTGGAAGTTATATATTTAATATTTTAGGCACAAATGAATTTTGAAAAAAATAAAAAAAATATTAACAAACATAAGTTAATCCAACTAAGGTGAGATGTGACTGATTCACCAAAATTCAACATTTACTATGCCTAGTTAGTAAAGACACAGGTATATAAAAAATATGCTGGTAGGCTACTGAAAACTTAAGAAAAGTGGATGGCATAGCTCAGCAGTTTTCGTTGGAAAGACTTCGATCGAATAGTCCTCAACAAAGAACCATTGGTGAAAAAAATGGTTCAGGTTAACGCGGTTTGAGTCCTTTTCACAAACAGCAGTAAATATTGGGATATACACTTTTGGCTGCAAAGGAAAATCTCAAAACAGTCAAAAGATTATTAACCGTGTCATTTTTTAACTGACTGTTGTAGGTATTCTTTTTTGCAGTGGCTGAATTGTTTGTAACATTTGTAGCATTTAATAGATCTATATTTCGACTACACAGGTAATAATGTAATGCTAAGCTAGTGTTATATTGACGATTTCAATAACTGAACTGAAAAACTGTTGTACTTAAACCCGGTAAACCTTTAATAACACTCCGAACGCGATGCTTCTGTTAACATGTGTAACAGCAAACTTGCAATGTGTGAACAATCATAGCTCAGCCATTTATTTACGAATTTCAAATCTGTTAGTGCCATTTGAAACTTTATACTTTGTTTGGTGCCAATAAATTTAAAATCTAGTGGTTAATTATTGAGCATTGATTTTTCAAACATTTCCCATTTACCGTTGCACATTTTACTAGAGCCATCGTGTTCAGAGTGTTAACCTCTTAAGCATATAATATTGATGATTAAAACCAGTGTATAGCTTAACAACAATTCTAATGTATTAAGCTTTTTAAGGGATTGAATAAAATTCTAATGTAGCTCTTGTTCAGTTCTCTTTATACCAGGTTATGCGTCAATAACTTTTAATCTATTTAGATTTGAACAGTTTTTGAGCGAACACTGTAACAAAACATCATCCTCTATTCGCATGAATCATCAAACCATGCACTTAGAAACAACGGAATCGCTTTTGCGAATGGATATTATTTTTTTGAAATCAGTTTTCGATCTTCAGTTGAAATACGTAATGCTAGCTGCAAGAATGATTGTCATCGCAAATTTAAATGCAAATGGTATTGGTTCAACCCCTTAACGCAAATCATTCAAAATAATGATGGAAACAACTCATTCGTACGTCAATGGCAAATTAAAAAAAAAATGATCTGAGTCGGCGCATTTACGAGGTGAATAAATAGTCATCGCTATCATAAATGGTAGAGGATTGAACGCCTCTAGTACACTGAGACAAATGATACACTTATGAATTTTAGCCACAAGAAATCAGTATGAATTCCACTGATTTGCCTTATGAAAATTAATGTTGACAAAAAAAAAATAATAAAACGGAGCATACTGGAACCGAACCATGGACGTTGAAATTACGAAGCCTGTGTGTTGACCACTCGTCTTTCAACGCTTGGGAAAATTTAATGGCTATAGGCGTATAACAATCGAGCCTTCTGGAATTCTTAAAAAGCGTAAAAAAAGAGGCTAAAGGATGCTAAAGGCATTTGAGAAGCGCTCACTAGACATATTTATGAAATTCATTCACCATAATGCAAAACATATATATTTCAATTGTTCATTTCACTGAGTGTATCCATCCCGACATAGCTTTTCATGGCTGGATGCATGATATAATTTTTAATTAATACAACTGAGTAATTTTTAAGTTTGTGAATTTTCTGTAGACTAAAATGTAGCTGGTTCATGTCATAATTCGTAAGCACATTGCGAATCAGATTTCATTCATTTTTTGGATTAGTTTAGCTTCCAATTTTCAGCTATTAAATCCAGAAAGCACTAGTACATATCTGAGGAATGATATGTACTAGTGCTTTCTGGATTATTTTTATGAAATACCACATGGAACTCTAGCAGCGCTGGTGGTGTAGGAGTAAGCGTGATTATCTCTCACCTCAGCAGGCCTGGATTCAATTCCAGTCGGCGCTACCGGGATGTTCCGAGACATAACATCTCTGATCACGCCTTCCTTCGGAAGGGAAGTAAAGTCATTGTTCTCCGGTTCATGAGTTCATGGTTCGATAGGTAGGGTCCAAGTGTGGGAGCTACCCCCCTGGCGTCGGTAGCATTGGTGCTCAGCACGGAATACAAGATCGACGGAAAACAAATCAAGGAAAAAAAAACACACGGAACTCTAATCCATACATTAAATAAAGACAGAAGGCACCGCATTTTTCTAAATTAACAAATTTTAAACGGAGTTAGCGCCAGTAACCGGGATGTTACCAACAATCAATGCGAAACTATCGATTTTAAATTGGCTTACTACTTGACTAGCCTATTGGTCCCAAGCAAATCGATTAACGTTCCCCATTCTACCGTATGCGTGATAATGTTTGCACCATCGTACAAATAAGGTTTCCGTTTTACCTGTGCATATAATGCCTTGGTTTTCTTAGCATGCACGTAACCTATAGCTCATACCGTAGTAGGCTGTGTATAAATGAAAATGATTTACTTAGTTTGACAATTGCACCATGACGAAGTGGCAGCGTATTCGTGATTTGTCCCACGCGCATTTGTCGCAAAAAGACATTTCAATCGCCATGGGAGTGTCCCGGTGGACCGTCAAAAGGGTTTTAGACCGAGAAAAGAAAGGACAACTATCCGCGAAGGTGGCCACAGGTCGTCCGAGGTCAGCTCGTGTTCCGAGGGTTATCGTTGCTATCAAAAGGAAGATTTGGGTGAATCCAGTGCGTTCAATAAGGAAAATGGCAAAGGAACACGGGATCAGTGACTTTACGGCACGGAAGATCGTAAAGGGAGATTGTGAGGCAAAATCGAGGGCACGGAAAAAAAACTCACATGATTACCAACCGCATCCGGGAGCTACGAGTTGAACGATGCAAGAAAATCTTGAACTTCTTTAAGCGAAAATATCCGGTAATCCTGTTCACCGACGAGAGCATGTTTACCGTCGATCCCGTATCAAATTCCTGAACCGACCGGTATGTTAGTTCTCTTCCGGTAAAAGACATGGCCGACGAGCACAAGAACGTGTATCTGACCAAGCATCTTGATAGCGTTATGGTGTTTGGATTGGTGGCTTCCGATGGCAAAAAATGGACCCGGTGTTCATTCCAGAAGGCGACAAGGTCAGCCCGGAGGTCTACATCGGGATTTTAAGTAAGTATGTTCTTCCGTGGATCAAAGAACAGTACGGTCCGAAGCCAAATGTTTTTTTTTTCCTTTGATTTGTTTTCCTTTCCATTATTTAACGTCGGTCTCTGTTCCGCAATGCAGTGCCAATCACCGACGGACATCGATTGCCATTCATTGACGGCAATCGAATGTGCAGGAAGGCAGCTTCCACACCTGCGTAGAATATCGCACCCATTCACAATATACACATGGGCCGGGACCAACGGCTTTACTTCCCTTCCGAAGGAAGACGTGACCATAGATTTTTATGCCTCAGAAAAATCCCACCGACCTCGGCTGGGATTGAACCCAGACGCATTGGGGTGAGAAAGCAGTCACGCTTACCACTACACCACCGGCGCCGGCCTGATTTGTTTTCCATCGATCTTGTTTTCCGTGCTGAGCACCAATGCTACCGACGCTAGGGAGGCAGCTCCCACACCTGGACCCTACCTATCGACCCATCAACTCATGAACCGGGGACCAACGGCGTGACCAGCGATATTATGTCTCAGAACATCTCGGCGGCGCCGACTGGGATTGAACCCAGGCCTGCTGGGGTGAGAGGTAATCACGCTTACCACTACACCACCGGCGGCGCTGAAGCCAAATGTTGTATTTCAAAAAGATGGGGCTCCGTGCCATACCTCGAACCGCACTCAGAAGTGGTTGCAGGAACATCTTCCGTTCTGGGCGAAGGATATGTGGCCGCCATACAACCCCGATCTTAATCCTCTGGATTACTCAATATGGCGCGTCATGAAGGCCAAGGTCTGTTCTAAACGCCACCCGAGTACAGCAAGCCTCAGACAAACATTGACCCGCACCTGGAGAGAAATGGATCCAGACTACATTATTAGAACCTGCCGTGCATTCCGGAAGCGTGTGGAGGCCGTGATTGCAGCAAGTGGAAACTCGATCGA